ACCAAAAAACTAATGTACTTTTATGATGCACCATCCATGGACCTGATTTTTGTACATCCGCCCACAGTGCCGTATGAGACTGCTCCGAGCTTCAGGCTCACTTATAGTGCCTGATAAACTCCCAGTAACCGCCAAATAGCAGGTATCCGTTCAAACCACTACCACGGAGGAGATTCATCTTACAGTCTTTCAGTAATGGCCCAAAGAAAGTCATAGACTTGAGCGGTCCGAGACCGAAGAAAAACTGCCTGCACCAAGGGCAACCACATTCACCCCAAGCGCCGAAGCGATGGCAACGACAGCCATGAATGGACAACATGATAAATTGGTTAGGGTGGGGAAGAAAGCTTGATATTCTCGCGAAAATGCACTCATAGTACCGGATAAAGTAGTCATTGCTGGCTGATCAAACTCTTTCATTTAACATTCTTGTATCCAAAGACAGCCTTCTGGAGCATAAGGACACTTTTGACAGGCAGCAGTGGGACTCCATATGCATCATGCTAGGTCTAGGCACCCTCAGAGCCAAACTGTGTGGACTGTACAAAAGCACCAACTCATCTCCGGGGAAGCCTTCGTCGATTAGAGTGACTTTAGGCTCAACAAGGGAGGCGGAAAGGTTCCTGTTACCTTCACACATGCTGGTTATCAGCGGATTATCCAGCATTAGAGCTAGACCTGACCGATCATGAGAGGTGAGAGATGTTTCGAGAAGCACCCGCTCCATAGAGACCCACAACCATGGTCATCCATGGAATACCTGAACTGACAACTGGCACCCTAGGAGATAAGTACACCCATGACGTCCAACGATGAGAGTGGTTATCAGCACGGATAAGGATAAGTGAGGTTGCAGCAGTGACAATCAGAAGTCTGCCTTGCTCCCAACATCTGACAATCATGGTTTCACCTAGACTAATGCCCGTCAAACTTAAATCCCCAGAGGTTCTAACTACAGTATTAGAGACGTGGTATAAAGTCAAGAGCACTACAAATGGGAATGTTTGCTGCTGTGAAAGAAGACCTAGAACACTGCAACAGCAGCGAACAGCAGTCGCTCCCCGTGAACAGGTCACCATCACCCTAAACTGACACGTTAAGAGTCAGACCGGCAACCTCCACCCAGCACTGACTGCACCAATCAGCTTAGGAAAAAACCCAACTGGGTCGGTTTCACTGGGACTGGTCGGTCAGTGAAAATCCCCATCACATCTAAATCTGTGCTACAAGTTAGCCCAGAGACACCCCACGTTATGAGAACTTCTAAGTGTCTTTACATAAATGTGAGGGGACTCCGAAGTGAAATATCAGAGCTCCGATCCCAACTTGTTGCAAAGATTATATTCCTGATGGAAATATGGTTATCGCCGGACATTAGTGACATTAGAGTGAACACAGTCGACATGTTTTTGTTCAGGAGAGGCAGGGAGAATAGGGACGGAGTAGGATTGCAATATACGTCAACAGTTTGTTCAAAAGTGAATAAACTACGGACACTGTATTTACAGAGCTCCCAGACTCAATCTGGTGCCACTTCAAGAACAAACACACTAAGTATCTAGTTGGAGGAGTCTATAGGTCTCCTAATAGCAACGTGGAACAACCAAAAATTACTTCGAGTAATGTCCACAGTGTTGACTATGGGGTTTTGACCAGATCCTAATAGCTGGTGACTTCGACGCTTCAACTCAGCTTACAGCAAGGTAGCACAACTCCCGGCCGGAAATTGGATCTGAACCTGCAAAACGCCATCCAAATGACTGTACTGTACGAAAAGATTGGCGGCAATAACCACTGGGGGTCAGACGGTAAACCATATAAACTGGATTATCTGCTGACCACCTATTAGTTGGAAACATACAGGTTCAAACTCCTCCTCGAAGCAGTGATCACTCTACGGTAGTGTTCGGTCTGGTGATCAGCAAACAATTATCGCGGAAGCGATCTCACCCTATCCCCACTGTTACAGCAAGACAAACTAGGAAGGAAGGAATCAGTGCCTATCAAGAGCTCCATAGCCAGTAGACTGGTGCTCCATATCGGTTGACCAGCACTGGAAACTAGCAAGAGACATCATTAAGGCAGGGATTTCTGAAAACGTCCCCTTGGTTGTAACAACGTCCAAAAAGCTGACCTCGTGGCTAAAACGAAGCCCTGGTCACCTCCTGAAAATCAAGAGGAAATCATGACATAAATAGAGGCTCTCTACAGAAGAGGACGATTGAGGCGCAATACAACTCTACGAGATGGATACAACATTAGGGTGCTGGGGGACAGGCAGTCATTTCAGTCCAAACTTGTCAAGAAGCTTGAGGCAAACCCCTAAAAACCTATGCCGATTCATGGAGAAGATAAAATTTACAAGCCAAGGAGCATGCGTCAACAAAGTTCCGAACGGAGAAAAACTCTCCAGACAGATCGACGAAATGTTAAGCACCATCTTTGACACAGCTCAACATCCCATCATTCAAGCTCGCGTACCCACAGCCTGAACACCTCCAAACGTTACCCGGTGTATCACAGTTGCACAAAGTACATATAGTTCGTGTTGTTGCTCTTGATAAGTTAACAAAGCTAAGTGCGGGAAAATCCTCAGGATGCGACAACATTAGCTCATCTGTGTTGAAACGATGTGCGAGTACCATGAGAGGCCCACCCTGAAACCTTTTTCAGCTCTCCTTAGGCAAACAATGGCTTCCACGGGAGTGGAAATGGGCCATCCTCTCTCCTATCTTTAAAAGAGGAGACAGGCATAACTTGAACTGTTACCGACCCGTAGCACTTTTACCAGTAGTATAAAAAGTCATGAAAGCGTGATAGACGACCACATCAGGGAACACCCGAACACAAAACAAGCACTCGGTGACGCTCAGCGAGGCTTTCGAAAGGATCAGTCTTGTGTTACCAACCTCCTGACAGCCCATGACCACTGGGAAGCATGCTGGGACCTCAAGGTCCCAGTCTACGCGATTTTCCTGGATTTAGCCAAAGCCTTTGACACGGCCTCGCTCACCATCCTAATACATGAAATAGCTGGGTTGGTGATATCGTGGCTTCAAAACTACTTAGACGGTAGGGGGTTCCGCGAGAAAGTCAACAGGGTCTATCAACTTGAAGAACATCATCGTCTGATGTATCACGAGAGTTTCTGAGTCTTTTGTGGTCCCCATTGTTCGTGAATGACCTCCCGTGGCATATCAGATTTCCGATTCTCCTTTACCCCGACGACGTCAAGCTATGGAGAACGGTAACGTGTGCAAAGTAGTCGAATGCACCACAGGACGACCCCGAAACACTCAAGGAGTGGGCAAAAAATAACGCATTGTGATTCAATCTGAATAAATGACAGTCCATGTTTTTCCGCACTATGACCCACAGAAGGTATCCAACTCTCTAAGTGGTTCACATCTCATACTGTCAAAGAGAAAGATCTGGGTTTAGTGGTGACGGAGAAACTGAACACCAGTTCCAGAAACCTAGGTGCCTCAAAAGCATACCCTGTACTACACTTAATGCGTGGACAACTAGGTGCTCTCACCCCAGGGCTCTTTCTGAAACTCTACAAGACCTACACACCTCACTTGGAAATTCATAGTGTCTTTGCTCCACCACACATCAAAAAGGTGCACGAACCTCCTGGAGAAAGTTCAAAGGCTAGCCATAAAGGGTGTTATACGGATGCACCAAAAACCATACCAGGATAGACTAGAAGACTTACGTCTATACCCTCTTATTTACCGAAGGTTGCGATGCGACTTGATAGTAGCTTACAAAGTACCAAATAATTCGTCAGCCAAACAGATGAGTGCTCCCAAGTGGCCACTATGGTGATCCTCATGGAAACCCAAAGAGAATTACCCACCAAAGGTCTAAAACTCACGTGCGTTCACACTTCATCTCCCTTCGAGTCTAGGGTCACTGAAATGCATTACAAGTAGAGATAGTTCCCCCTCCCCCCCCCCCCAACTCTTAAGAGTTTCAAAAGAGGCTAGACAGTCACCCACGGTTTGTACTCATTTATTTAGAATACGAATTAGACCGACGAAATCGACTGCTGTCACACCATTCCAAAACTGTTACCTCTACACCAATTCTCTTCCTACCCTAACTATTAAGTCCTTCTCATCCCTTTTACTCGCTATGAATTAACGTCAGTCACCTAAGCTCTGCATATCTTTGCACCGCCTTTACTTAGATGTACACAGATTATTCCTTCATTTCACTTTTCTTTGTCTTTTACTTAGATATATTTGTCTTCCCAGATTATCTCTTCACTATCCCTAGTTCCGTCTTGCGCCCAGTCCTAACGACTGTGCGGCAGCTCGACATCTGAAAAACTCAACGGCATCATAATCCCAGACAAACTTACCAACACTTTACTACATATCGTGTATACCAGAGCGATGGCAGACGGGTGGCTGGACCTACTTCACCGGAATCCGCCAGAGACCTAGCAGTGAGTACAAAGAAACTAACTAGATTACACAAGCTAGTTAAACAGATATTGGATATTGGAACTGGTTTCTTTAAAACTATTCTTAATAAAAATACTGAACGCTTTCTCAGTGAGCTCACGGAGAGTAACCACTTGTTCAAGAGGAATGAAAAAGTAATACCGAAAATTAATATCTAATATCTTTTACAATCTTGCATGAGAAAACTCATCACTTCACACTCGATTCTAGATTTTGTGGAATTGCTGAATTTCGATGCAGTACATCCACCCCTTCGTATGGTATAGGCCTGGTAAACCAGAGGGATGGTTGGGCATCGATTTGATTTTTAGATAGAAGTATGATTTATCTTGTGACTGTGATGTTGATAGGTTCCTGATGTGTCATGTCATCAGACAGTTGTTCGGACTGGTTGCTATAGGAAAATGAGGAGAAAGAAAAGATAACTACATAGGACAAGGGAGAGGAAATAAGCAAAACCAAAGTAAGGAAGGGAAAGTGAAAAGAAAGGTAAACTCAATGTTTCATCTTTGATGTGATGCTTACAAGAATCTATTCCATCTGGATTCCCGTTAAAAGGAAAATGTGATGAGAAAAATGTGATCCATCGACTCTGAAAGATAAAATGATAAACAGCAGTCAATGAAAGATGATAATTCATAAGGAGAAGAAGAGATATTTCAGGAAGAAGAACTAGGATGTGGAACGCTTCAAAAAGACTTACATAAAATAAATTCGGCCTCGAGGCAGCACCAATAGTTACAAATATTCAAACAAGTGGCGTTGGTTTTAAACTAATGCAAGAAATAATAGTCCCTTAGGTTCTAAATCTCTGTAACCGTCGAAATTTCTTCGTTTAGAATTTATGCTGTTCTAAATCCGGCTGCAAAAAACCTAACATGACGGACATAAGCAATTACCGTTTATCTAACATCCAACATCAATATTGCGAATAGAGGAAACTTGCAGTTTTTGAGCTCTCGCTTCCAGGTCTTGAGGTTTGGCTCTTTCTGTTCTATCGTACTCCCTCGATGGTTGCAGAAGTCTTTGCGTTTTCCTGCCTACAGCCTTGGAGGTAATGTTTGTCTATTCGAAGGTGTTTTATTTGCAAATTGTAGCTTGGTTTGTTTACGGGGGGGTGGTAACGGAGTTGCTGATAAGATCACTTAACCCTCTGAAATTCCTGCCAGTAGGTGTTAGGCGCCGCTTAAAAGGTGCTAGAAATTGGGCGAGTGGGGAATGAGAAAAAGAGGAAAGAGGAAAGATAACTCTCACTGGTAATAATTTGGAAGAGACATGAGTCTGGGTGTAGATGCTAGGGTAAAGGACTACAGGGATGGAGGAGCGTATCATCAGTTGCTATTGGCAAATGTTCTTGGCAAGCCATTTGCGCCTACGTACTCATCCAGTAGTCGTTTGAAGGAGTCGATTGTGGCTGCTTCTTTCGACAGGGCGTTCCACAAGGCATATAGTATGTGGGAGGAGAGGTTAGATCTCACCCCAGTCTTTCGCCTATGGTGCGGTATGCTACTGGGGTTCTCATGGGACTGTCGGTTTTGGACCAATAAGGTTGACTTATTTGGGTGGCCCACTTGGTGAATGATCTTGTAGGCTGTTATCAGGTCACCTCTTTTCCTTCGATACCTTAGCATAAACAAGCTGAGTTCCTCAAGGAGTCGCGCAAAAAATTTGCCTGCTGATGAACACTTCCTGGCTATTCTGTCACCTACTATCGGTAAGAAAACGGAAGGCCTAATGAGTAAAGCCCATCCATAACACAGGACACTGAGTATGCATTTATCCTCCTGTAGAAAGCATCAGAAGAAGGAGCTGTAGCTCCGTGAGAATGTGCTAGACTGAAAAGAATCATAGACGATGTAGTAAACCGTCTTCATATCCACAAACGCTAGCCTGCGTTGCAACGGTTGCAGCTGAAGGACACTAGGCAGTAGAGGTTATTTTTAAGACAGCTAAACTCCATTTTTGGTATTTCTTCTCCCGACAACTTCCAAGATAACAGTTTCTTTCAGCAGCATAAAAGACATAAGGAGCTAGTTATCCTGCAGGTGCAGAGGAACATAAAGACCTTAAGGTAGTCTTTCTAAATTTAGTGGAGGAAACCCAAGGACTCGACAACTCTTGTTCTCTGCAGAGCAACAAATGGCAGAAGTGTCAAGTTTGTCACAAGGGTTATCTCGAGTTCTTTTCCAACGTGTAAGTAAGAGAAACTTGTCTCCCTCAGAAAAAAGCAGTTAAAGAAGACCAATTATCACAACCGCTTACTTCTTCATCTTGAAAGGGAATGTGCTTTCGCTTCGCCGACTCGGAATTTTAAATATGTCCTCCCGGAATACACAGAAATCCGTTTGCCCCTGAATTTTTCACCAGATGTTCAGTATATAGCGGTGAAGGAATATGTGGGGTCGCTAGTACGTACAAGAAATGCACAATAGTGAATCAGGAAAAGAATAATGAAGTGCCCCACTTAGTGTCGGGGATGTAGTATCCGACACTTGTTTTCTGCACTCATGTCCATTAAAGCGAGGCCGGGTGTGAACTTTCGATTCTTGACTCGCTTCATTTTTGAAGGAAGAGATCTTTCGAAGGCAAATTTCACCCGCAACTCACGAAGTGAATGCTGAATGCATGCAGAAGAAGTAACACGTTCTCAATATTCGCCCCGTCTAATCCTTTTCCGAAGGTGTGCGAATATTTACGGGTCCGTTGCTGATGACTCATGAGTTAGGAAGGGAAAATAGCTGTGAAGCTAAGTGGTAAATATATTGGAAACGTGGGCTGAATGAAGGTGCATCTGTTTGTCGTGGATAGAAAGTACAAACCGTCATTCAAAGGCATTGGTTGTTTTCTAAAGACAGACAGCCGCTCCAGAGGGAGATTATTTTCTGTGATACTGACTGGTGATATGCAAGTGGCCCTGGAATATGTGGACAAGCAACTCAGGTGCCCTATTCAACCGTGGTTTAGTATGAGAATATAAATCTACCTTAAAACCCTGAATAATTTTTGCATCGTCATTACGAAGCTAATTTTGTCTGACTGCCGCTTACCTTGATGCTTGATGGAGATGGCTCAAATGCTATTGGTTCTCTTTCCCTTCGTCACTTCGCTATCTACTGCGTAGACCAGATCGGAACCGAGTTTGTCCCGGAGCTCCGACACCTTCATTCGAATTATTTGCGGGTACGGTACACAGAAGGATGTTATCAGAAAAATCTTTTCATTACGAAGAAAGAACAGTGAAGGGGTCTCCAGTTGTTGAACATATTACCGTCTCCACAAAAAGCCATCATGTTGGTAGGACATATGATCCCAACCCCTGAAATAATGTTGAGCTACCACCTCTTCCGCAGGAACGTAGTTTGAACAGGATACATACCCTTGCCGGGGAGGAGTCAGCACAGATATTTGCGTGCCACCTTCAATCCCGACCCATGGAAGGTATCCCTTTCCATCGGGTCTAGGGCTAGGCTTCAAAAGTCATCTTTCACGGCTTTCGAAGTGGTTAAGTTTACGCTGTGCACAGAATGAGTACCTAGTGTACGTGGATCGACTAGATATGACTTATTTGGGAGTTTGACAAAATCATCATTTGCACTTCTCCGAACTTGGGCCAAAATAGGGTTTCCTTTTTTATGGTGTACTGATATAACATCACGGTTCGATTCGATGTGTTGCCCCAGGCACAATCTGCAAACGTTTTCGAAAATTTCCGATGCTGACCATCTAAATTCAGTGATGTATGCACCAGGATACTACAAGCCTCTTTCGCAACCGATTAGCGGTGGCATCAGTGGCATCAATGACAGATGCTGCTTGATCTATCTGAGCAATAGCAGAGGATGTTAGATTCCTTCAGTGGAGTAGAAGAATTTTCCAGCATCTCCACTCACCAGCGTCACTTCAGACCTGACCACGTTGAGGTTGCCTACATCCAGCAAAACACATCGATGAAGTCTGTTCACGTCCTCTCAGAAGAGATTGATGTTTCTCAGCTTATGAGTTCCTCCTCAGATCTTCAGGGAACCAGCACACATTAGCGAACAAAATGCAACACAATTAAGTTGGTTAAATAAATGTAGCATAAATATCGGATGACAAGGGTTAGAGTCTCTAACAACCTGACGGTACACTGCCTACAAATGATACGATGGAAGTTTAACCTCAACAGTTAATAATTTGCGTTCGTGACGTTCCTTTAGGCACTCCAACAAAAGCCCTGCAACGTCCATAGGTCTGAGTTCCCGGATCGTCATGCTAACGTTTGGCCCGCAGAAGTTCTTCGGGTGCCAAATGAACAAAACCGTAGCATCGTTGGGTTCGTTCTAGGTGTCCCGTGCCATTAGGGGATTGATATCATATAATCTGCTGAGTCTGTGTCCATGACGAGAGTCAGACAACACCAATTTTGCGCCATCTTAGTTTTTGGGGACCTCTATATCTCTTTAACAATGACCTTGGCGGCAAGTTAGGCCACAAAAATCGCTCTAAATTTTAGGGCAGTGGTTTACTCCCCACCCTCGTAAGTCTGCTTTACAAAAGTTGTCTTCCAATTTTTAATGGCTACCATTTCTTATTTCAAAACGTTACCGTCCCTCAGTACCCGCAGTCTGATCCCGTACGGCGGAGGAAATCCCCTTGGATTCAAACGGTACAAGATTGCCTTGACACTGATGCTGCCGGCCCTGACCCACTCAAAGGCCTGACAAATTGGTCGAACTCAGTTCATGTGGTCCCACTGGTTTTAACGGGTCAAAGTCAAATTAAAAGTTACCCGGTTGCCTGATCATACGAAATGAGCTCCCTGTATCTTGTGCAGTGAGGGGAAGGCTTTCTCCAGTGATTGCTTTTAGTTCTAGCCTCATGCCTCATCGTACCGGTGCAGATAGTCGGCAGTACCCTACGGTGGTCTCGGATGGCTTAACTGCTTCAAAAGTATGTTTAGTTTCAATCCACGGACCGACCACGAATGAGTTAGCAGGTGCCACAAGTTAAGGACAAATTCCATACCCCATTTTTCTTTGAGGATACTGAAGAAATGTAATGGGACTCACAATTCTTATAATTGTGTCTCAAGTGTATCCCACTGGGAATTTAGTCCTGTGGAGTGATCAGTGCCTGGCCAACACGCTCTAGACATTTCGCAACACAAATAGCGCTCTTATGCTTAAAAACGTCTACGTGAGCATGGCTTAGTGTGCGCCGCAGCATTGCCACTGCAGTAAAAGTGAGCGTCCGCGAGAATACTATGCCTTTGTCACCGAAAGCTGACTTTAGTGTGAATGATTCTTGCTTCAGCCTTGATCGATCTTCTGCATTTACAGGTTCCCATGGCTACTATATCTGAGTAATCCTATTAATGAAAACTGCCGATACCGAAAATCGTTTTCACGGCACGTAAAGTGGTTGGGGGTCACTCACAGATAAGACGCACAAATATTTTCTTTTACCAGTCCTCTGCGCTCAGCAAGGTATTTGTTTCAGTTTTGAGTACACAGGGTGAAGCTGCGTACTTCATTTTTCACCTTATTAACACTGAGGTTCGACCCTGTGTAAAACCCAGTGACATCCTAGGACCAATATATTTATCTTTATATAATTCACCATAATCATCCTTAGAATTTTGGCTTTTCGCATGTCACACACTCCACAACAGTCTGAGGGTCCTGATAATCAGTTACGTTCGACGGTTTCAGCGACTGTGCATGTAGCCGACACGTAATACTGAATCACCATCAACTTACTACCGAGTAGAGACGAATCCC